TATATATGTGTGTGTGTGGGGGTGGGGGGTCGCGCATGTAGCGAGACAAGGTGGGAATATTATTATGCACGTGTGGTGAGACAAGGTTGGCAGTTATGTTACTATTGCACACGTGACGAGACAAAGTGGGATGTGTCAGTGATTGATTTATGATGATTTGTGGCATGGGGGCATTCTTGTTGTTGATATTTGTGAAGTGGTATACATACATACCTGTGTGAGCTTTATCTTGTGAAAGTTATGAGAAAATATTCTACGTGCTCTCTGTTCTTTTTTCTTATGCTTATTTGCTAATATGGACTATGGTAGGACACTTGCACAAGCATACACGTAGTTAAGCACTCTAATCGGATAAGAGGTGTTCTTGACATTGTTGAGCATACATGCTCACCCTTGTTTACTTGCCTTCTATGTGAGAATGACTCTGTCGGCACGTGAGTCATCAGTGCGGTTATGAGATATTATGAGGGCACAGGATGCCAAGTGTTAGAATTCAGTTATTGAGACCCGTGAGTTGTGATTTGTCCGAGGTTTGGTACCTCGTGGAGTTGTTGACTAAAACCTGATGTAAAAGCGGTTGTAGTTGCTGAGTTATTACTTGTCCTTGATGTATTTGTGATTTCGGATTTAGGTTGTGTTCCATTCACCTTTCTGTGTCATTTTCATGATATTCCGCTGATACTTGTTGTTTCCTTCCTTATTGCCATCACTGTACTGTGAGCCATATTGCATAGTCTTTATGTGACAGCATACTTCTGTTGTTCAAATAGTTATATCTATTCAGTTTACTAGACCGGTGGGTGTCTTGACTATTTCTCGTCACTACTCCACCGAAGTTAGTCTTGATACTTACTTGGCACCGCTATGGTGTGCTCATGCTACTCTTCTGCACATTTTTGTGCAGATCCAGGTTCTTGTTCGTTAGCTAGCTGTGTAGACTGTTGCTGTGGAGACTCAAGGTAAGCATGTTGCTGCATTCGCAGGCTTTGGAGTCACCTTCAACTTTTCGTTTTGCTCTGTTTATTCTTATTTCTGGACAGTTGTATTTACAAGTTTTCTAGCAAACACTCTATAGAGCTTATGACTTGTACTACCGATTTTAGAAATTGTAAGAGGTTCTATTTAAATAGTGTTATTGTTTTAATTATTGTTAGGCTTACCTAGTCCTTAAGACTAGGTGCCATCACGATACCCAACGGAGAAAAAATTGGGTCGTGACAGATACCATATCATTGCTCCCTTTGACATGGTCTCCCCGAATTTCTTTAATAATACAACTTTGATCTCATCATCTTCTAGATCGTTCCCTTTAATGGCACACGTGTAAGAGGTGACATGTTCGTTGAGGTTAGTCGTTCCATTATATTTAGGAATCTCGGGCATGCAGAACATCTTGGGGATCGGTTTGGGAGTTGCGCTCGGGGGGAAAGGCTTTTTTACGAACTTTTTGGAATCCAAACCCTTCAATATTGGTGGTGCCCCCGGGATCTGATCAACCCTGGAGTTATAAGTTTCTACTTTCTTGTCGTTTGCCTCAATTCTTTTTTTTCCTGACTCTATCCGTTTATATCAGTTCCTCGAGCATCTTTATAATTTTGGGGGTAGTTCCCGATTCTTGATAATTTGACCTTACTACAGCTGGTCCCGTTTTGTGGGTGACTTCTTGGAGTGGACCATGCTCAGGCCTGCTCGGTGCCTGGATTTTGATCTGCAACTGAGCTATCGCTACTTGTTGAGCTTGCAACATTTCAAAAATCATGCGCCACGTTGGTTTCAAAAATCATGCGCCACATTTCAAAAATCATGCGCCACGTTGGCTCATCCCGTCTTCTCCAATATTTTGGGTATTTCGAACTACAGATCGAGTTCCACCATGAATGTTATTTTCGGGGCCGGAATGTTGGTTTGCTTCAATGGCCACATGCGAATTAACATCAATTGGACCCACGACCCGAGTTCCAACGGGGTCAACGGGTGGTCTTTTATCCCTGGGCGCCACGTTGTTATTCTCATCTTGATGGCCAGATTCGTTGTCGATAGGTAGGGCCATTAACTAAGAGTTCGTCATTTTTAGCTTGAAATCAAAGATACTTCCAAGAGCAAGTGTAAAATAGTGTGTTTTACAGAGATTTATATCAAATAACCACTATTATCCTTAGCCCTACGGTAGGCGCCAAACTATTTACCCGAAAAACGGATAACAATTGAATTTATACGTAGTTCTAAGGATACGTGGTATAACTTAGTACAAATTGGGAAAGATAAATAAATGAATATTGAAATTAGTTGTAAAAGAAATGAATTCAAACTGAATGAATTAGTTAGCCTAAGCCTTCAAGTTGAATAGAGAGTAATTGATAGGAGAACAATATAACTAAATATCAAAACCAGAGAAGAATAGTGTATTGCTTTATATTCTATGGATCTTAATGAATATGTCTTCTACAAATGATAACAACCTTTAATATAGTGAAGAAATCTTATTTTGGATATAATTAAAAATACATAGTGGGGATCTCATGATAGATTAATTAATTAGTCTTTCCATGATTTGCGCCGTAATTTCCGTCGAGATTCCCACCCAATTGCTGATATTCCGGTCTCTGTCTTTGGCTTGATAAGCTTTCCTCGATTGAGGCCGATCTTTGGCCTCGGTCTGTCTCTACATTTAGCTCGATCTCAATCTTGGTTGATCTCCATTTAGCTCGATATCGATCTTGGCTGGTCTCGAACTTAACTGGTTTCGATCTCGATCGATTCCTGAATTACGAGCTTGGCAATATCTATACATATAATGATCCAATCTATTTTGAGATCGAACCTTGGTCTGCCACCCCGATCTCAATTAACCGTACAAAATCGGACAAGTCCGATTTCGACCGTATACAACGACATAAATTTTATAATCCATATCATATTCTTTTTTCATTCGTTGCACTGTTATTGTTATGGTCTCGTGGAGTTCAATTCGAATTAATAGGACTACTAGAATGAAATTCCAAACACATTTCATCAGTTCAAAAACAGTGAAAAAGGAAAGGTCTTTAACGGGGATAACATGATCATTTTTGAATCTTATCCTGGGAATCCCACCTATGAGGTGGGTATTAAATAATCCAAGATTGTGATATAAATTTATTCCGAGATTAACTAATTCTAAAAATAAATATGAGATAAATTTAATCGTAATTCCTATACCACCTTATCCCACCTACCAAAAGATCCACTGCGTAGTTAAAAATATAAAACTCTAGTGAACCGTTTGAATGACAATGAACATAACAGTCGGTAGCGCAATGATGACCCACCCTGTCAATTTCTGAGACAAAAAAAAAAAAACAATGTCAGACTGACAAGAGATTAACAGAGACCATAAATGTTTGTTTCTATAATTTACTTATCGTTCTCTTTTAATTATTTACTCCCTCTGGTCCACAATAAGTGATTTGTTTTGAATATTTTTATACAAATTAAGAAATTCACCCTTTAACATTAATTAGCAATGAAATTGACCATATTAATCTTTACTATTTCTTCACATAAATATCTCTAACACATACTCCAATATTATTTACTCTAAGGGTAATGTAAGAAAAAAAATAATTAATTCATTTTTTGAAATCTGAAAAATTACTTATTTTGGACCACAAAAAAAAAAACCAAAAAATCACTTATTTTGAATCGGAGAAAGTATTATTTATTTATCAAAGAGTCAACATATAACTCTTGCATGGTAAACTCTTAATCTAGCGGTTGAGCTTGATTAGCAATTTTACATATCTAAGCACCTAAGGATCTGATCTAGCCGTTAACGAAGTGCATAGAAATCATGCGTGATCAGGGTTCAATTTTAGTAGAAAATAAACATAATTATCCGAAAGACATAATCTAAACCTTAATAGACATAATTATCCGATGCGAATATCGGTGGAAAAAAAAAAAAGCAAAGTCCGAGACATAATTTAAATGTGCACAAACTGACAGAACACCTTAAAAAACAAACAACATTACATAACCTACTTTATCTCGATGTTAAGTAATACTACTATACAATTAGATTGTACTTTCCAGCTTAGATAAATTCAATAATAATAGCATAATATGAAAAGAGTTTTTGCGTGTGGCTTGTGGAAGGGGGTTAAGATGTTTCCTATTTTAAATTAAAATAAGAAATAAAATAGTCAGATCCATAACTAAAGCGAGTGGGTAACATTTTTGAGCACATGGATTCATGTGGAAGAGAATTTAATGAAAAGGTTGTCCCTGATTAATTATGATAATTTAAACTTTGAGTAAAATACTAACGTGATGAAAATCGAGGAGACGGTGCAGATTCTCATCTTTTTTTCTCGTTATTTACGACTTTTTGATACTCTGTGCAAAAAAAAGAAAAAAAACATAATGCAAATTTATCTAAGGTAAATATTTGGTTCAGATAAATTAATTTTTACACCGTCTAACTACTACGAATTCTCTTGGCGTAAAGTTAGAATATTTGTTTTTGGGTGCTTCGTCTGTACAGTATATGTTGAAGTTTCTGTTAAACTATTCTGGGTTTAAAGGTAAAACATGAATCTTTTTATCTATAATACCATCTGTATCGTTAAATCAATTCTACTGCAAGGAGGGGTATCATTGATATCTCAAGATGCTTTACCAGTGCTTTTTTGGAGTTTAACTACTATACACTAACAAGGTAAAATCTTTTTAACACAATCACATCACCTGATCGATAATTATAGTTAACCATTCATAATAGATGAGTTCTGTAACTTGGAAAAGGCAAGTTACATCCTACTACAAGTTAAACTATACCAATATAAGCTAAATTCTTTTGTGGGATTAAGGACACGACAAAGACAACAAGTAACTATCTGCATTAATTGGGAAACTATGATCAAGATAAAAGCTAAACATATGCTATAACTCACCTCTTATTCAGAGGAAAGCTAAATATATGCTATAACTCACCCATATTGAGATAAAGAAGTCCAAAGTCAAAGAACAAAGAGCATTAACTCTTCCACCACCATTGTTTGAGATTCAGAGATTGCTTTTTGAAACATCAGAAAACATGAAATTAGAGGCTTGTGAAGCAGATAAAATGTACAACAATGAGGCAGCATCTCATCCAACACTGAACGTTACCCATAAAAAAGTTGAGAGCTTGAAGTCACTTGGGCTTTTGTGAAGTGGATAACCTTGAAGAATGGAGCACGTTTTGCTCGCTTATTGGTTCTGTACAACAACAACAACCCAGTATAATCCCACAAGTGGGGTCTGGGGAGGGTAGGATGTACGCAGCCATAGCCAATCTTTGGAACCTTAAAACTTTGATATGGAAAAAATGTTGCCGCTCGTAACACTTTGGTGGAAGATGAGACATTTGTAAATTTCTCACGGTTTCACAATAAATAAACTAATTATTTACTGTGAAGCAGAGAAAGATATGCAAATGTCTCAATTTAACCATCTTTCAAAGTATTGCGAGTGATAATATTTCGCCCCAAACTTATAATATCAAAGTTTCAAGGCTCCAAAGATTGGCTATGCTAGACAAAATTAACTCCCCCCATCATTCTCTACAGAAAAAATACCTCAAATAAACTAGCTCGGTTGGAAAACAGTCAATAAAGGTGTCCGCTCGAGCACGATAACTTTATGCAAGTTTCTTTTTTGTTTTCCACTATGAGTCAATACAACTGTCCAATCTTAAGCTGGATTAGGCTTGTCAAGAGCTAGTGTTTTTGCAGATGCAGCAATTTCTCTAGAGCCGTTAGAGAATGGAATACCATGTAAATTGAAGATGTTGTCAATTAAGGACCTAAAATAAAAAAGAATCATTAGAGTGGATATAACATTCTAACATGACATTTCTTACTTCTTAGGGCCTGGTTTTATATGAGAAAAAAGTCGCTTTACCTGATTAATGACTCTGTTCTTATGATACTCACAGCAGACACAGACAAAAGATAAAACTACTATAGAACTGCTGTAGCAATATGGACACACACACACCAACCGCCGTTACCAAAAAAGATTTTGTCATTGTAATCATTAGCCATAGAACATGATCAGTAGCATATGCAAAATATGCAACTCTTGAGAATTCAAACCTAAATGAACTGACCAGCCATGTATGTTCCCACATTTCACGAAATCAGTGTTAAACAAAGTATAACATATATGGCTATCGATTGTTTTCTCTTGTTTCACCGTAAAAACAAAAATAACTAAGAACCCGTTTGGATGGGCTTACAAAAATAACTAAGAGCCTGTTTGGATGGGCTTATTTTAAGTAACTTTTAAGCCAAAATAGTTTTTAAGCCATAAGTTAGGATTTCTAGCTTTTGACTTTTGGCTTGTTTTTGTCATTTTAGCTTAAAAACAAGTGCTTAAAAGCACTTTTTTTACTTTATCCAAACACTACAAAATGGCTTAAAAGCGATTTTGGCTTAAAAGCACTTAAAATAAGCCAATCCAAACGGGCTCTAAGTCATTCGCAAATAAGTTGTGACCGAAAATATGAATCCTAAATGAACATGTGTCTCCATTTAATTTCATCTAATGCCGACGTTACAACAACTATGCCTCAAATAGATCTAATAAAACTCCTATGAAACATATCACCTACAGTAAATGCACCAACATTATTAAAACATCTTCCCAACTAATAAGTATCGCATGTATAGATATTTTTCTTCAATTTTGTCCTACCTTATGTTAAGTGTGCATGGATTCCAAAACCTTATATATCTTTCGAGACAATTTCCTTGCATATAATTTTAGGTCTAACTAGTCCTCTTTTAATACTTTCCGCCATGGCTTCACACATACACGGATGCATCTGGAGGTTGATACAGGACACGATCCAACCATTTCAAGCCACTTTCTTTCAAAATTATCCTGATGTGATTATTTTTTGATCTTGTCTAATCTTGTATAACCACACATCCATCTTATATATCCACATTTCCACGACACAAATCTTGTGGATGTCTTGGACTTTAACGGCCCAACATTCACTTCCATCACATATAATATTGTTGATTTTATAAGTTATAACTACCCTATGAGCGTTAAATTCTTTGGTTCTTTGAGCATTAGTTAACAACATTATTAATCAGAAAAAAAAAAGGTTTTAAACCCGGAGCACATTGTGAATAAGCTGATGTTTTTTCGCATCCCTCCTATGAAGATCAGAGCAGACACAGTAGACAAATAATTTTTGAAAGCGGTATACAAAATGATAGTGAGAAGGATTACACTGTAGCTAAGAGGCGGATAGAACAGATCCAAAAAATCTGATACATATATATTCCTTAGACAAAATCAAGGAACATGAATCTGTAATCAACAGACGAAGAAAGAGCGGTTACTTACTTGTTAAGTAGGGTAGCAGCATCCGAAAATTAGAGGAGGTAAAACCTGCCTGAAGAATAGGCGGCGATTTTTAGCTCATAGGAATATGGTGAAATCACATCTCAATATCTATATGTGGCATTGGACGCGAGTAGGTTGGGCTATTTGAGGCATTGACTCGGCCCAATTTGAACCATCTAAATATTAGAGCCTAATTTCCACACGTAACTACAATTTACTTAATTATCATCAATTATTATCAATTTGTATCATTTGTATTCCTTCGCTCTAAATTGTTGTATCAACACATATACTATACTGAAATACAGTGATACATGCAGTTATTGTATCACCGTATGTGACTCCATATGCTGGATTTACCATTGAAATTTTGCTACAAAATACAAAGAGTAGCTACCACTTGTAATCATTTCAATGTGTATTTATGTCTAGTTGATACAATGTATAAGTTAGTTATACCATGTAATTTTTTCTTTCTTTAACCATTATGGTAATAAATACCTTTACAAATTTTATCAAGGAATCTTCATAAAAATAGCCGGTTAGATTTACTGTTTACTTTGCCTAGCCAGTATACATAGATCAGATACTGATTATACACACTAATTCACATATTATGCATAAGCTGTATATATGTTATATATCCGCCGGATATTTTTAGTTTTAGTTGGGTGGGCGGCTGTTTAGAGGCGGACCCAGGATTTGAGCACGACGGGGCCACAATTGTATGCTAATTACTAGCGATAAAATTTGGCGGCAACTCTTTGAAAATTCAATGATTATGATGACTTATCATCCAAGTATAAATAAAAAGAAGCTCTAAAGAAATAGAAAGTATCAAACAAAGAGAGAGATTTCTTCGCAAAATAGGTGTTACGGAAAGAGAAGGTATTTGATTTAAGATTGTTTCAAATTTTAACTTTTCTAGCTTTTTCTCCATTAAAAAAAGGGTCTATGATCAAAAGGGTGTTCAAACTTCAAAAATTATGAAAAAACTTACTAAACAAATCAAGATTAAGGGTGTGCTAATAGTTAAAGAACTGAAGAAAGGTCTCAAATTCTTAATTAGTTGTCATTGCCGAGTCAGGGTTGACGGATATCCGCTACTTTGTCAAAGTGATTGTTGAAGAAAGTTGTGGTAGAAGGATTTGTATTTTTCTACTTCAGGAGTGCGATAAATTACAATTTAAGGCTTTTAATTTTAAGGGAAGGATTTGAAAATGAATAAAATTAAGTAAGTTGACTATTATGTATTAAAACTAAACTATAATTGAATTCAAAAAAAGAAGAAGATAAAAGTAAAAAGTGTAGCAGTTTGCTATTAAGTACAAATTAGTTGAATTCAAAGAAGTAAAATAAAAATGAGAGGAGAAATGATGAAAATGGGTTTTGAACCCACGAGATCCAGCAAAGGCGAAAACTTAAGCGCTCCATAAAATCACTCCTCCAGTACGCCTATTTGTGTGTGGGGGCACACGAAAAATATTTAAGGCATCCCAACTATATATATATATATATATATATATATATATATATATATATAGAGAGAGAGAGAGAGAGAGAGAGAGAGAGTTTTTGTCGAGGTTAACGGGGTCCCGTGACCCCTCAACCCGAAACGTAGGTCCGCCTCCGCGGCTGTTTGGATTAATTCTTCTCTCATCTATTATGTAGTTGTCTTTTGGAGTCCAAATTTTTGCAGACTTGTTGCTGATATGTTAAAGAATTTCTGGTTGATTTTGCTAGTATTCTGAGTTAGTTGATAAATTCATTTTTTTGTCCTAGGGCCGATGGTACGATTTCGAAGGCAAAAACAATGCACACTCTATGTTCACACTAATTATAAGTATAGTTTATTATGATTAAGTCATTAAAATGACATGAAAATGCGTAATTATATACATGTAAAGACACATGTCATGTATTTATTGATTTGATATAATCAACGGGTATAAATAAGTATTTTTCATGATAGGAATTTCGCTTATAAATTGTTGGTATAGACGTTGTTCTTTAATTTCATTAATGTTGAGTCTTCCATTATCGCATCATGATTTGATAGCTTATACTCCGTAATAAGAATCATATTACAAATGCTGTTAGTATCATTTCTCTCTCCATTTCACCAAGCTAAACATAGTAGGATCTTCTCAAGAAGATAAAGCTTCATTGTATACCTACATGATACAATAGAAAGATGCTCCTTTTGACTCTTCTCAAGAAAGGGAAAAATATTTTATGCATACACAATACATGATCTAGGTTTGTGTATTTAAGTTCATGGTCATGCACCGTGGCGGATTCAGAATCTAAACATTGTGAATTCTGAAATGCATATCTAACTCTACCTTTATATGTTTTTCGCAAATATATATAAGGTTCGGCCTTGAAACACTGAATTTTGCCGACTGCAAAACCTATGGTTGAATCCGCCACTAATCGATCATGCACATTGGGCTTCTAGGAAGGCATTGAAATCTTCCCTCGCCTTGTGAAGGCGAGGAGTTACGCAGGAATTGGGCGAGTCAGAGTCAGGGGACGATGTAAAAAACCGAACATGGCGTCTCGACTCATCGGATTTTCTATCAGTTATTTTTGCTGTGGTGTTCTTCAGGACCCCTTTTGGCTCCTTATCAAAAACAAATGCTGTTGTCACTGAGGAATGAGTGTCACTCACACTGCATCTGACTAGTTCCATTGGTAGATCAAAGAAGAGATTGGACTCATTTTCTTCATCTTCACTTGAGTTGATTATAGCTGATGATGTCCATGATCCACATTCAAATTTCTCCAATGACACTTTCCTTGAAACATTGTCTCCCATATTATCACATATTCCAGTTTCTTCCCTTCTGGCTTTTACTTGTTTTGCTTTTCCAATACCAGGAATAAACAAACACATAGCCCCACACTTAAACTTCTCCTCATAAGACTCCACTTTATCTTCACCACCACCACTAGATTTGTGAACTCTGCTAACTTTGCTTTCCTCAACATGTTTAACACTATTGACTTTTGTCAACCCAAGAACAGATTTTTCCGGTGGCGCGCTTGATCTTGATCTTTCTACACCCAATGACATGCTCCTGCGCAAGTGGTTTTCTTTCAGCCGTTCGAGATTTGCTAGCGCCACAGAATGCTGCCTAGCCAAAGGGTTGTTAGAGAGAGGAGAAGGTTGGTTTTTCCCTTTCTTTTTGGATAAATTTGATGCAAATTTTGGTGATGAGGTTGCTGAATTTGGAAGGCTGTTGCTTAAGAACTTCTTTGATGGTGGAAAAGGGAGAGGAATTGTTATGGGATCAAAAGATTTGGGTTTGTCATTTGTGTGAAGTGAGATAGGGAAATCATATTCATTTGCTACTTGAATATCCATGAATGAAGGCATATCTGAATTCTGAATTTGTCTGAACTTTGAAGCTGAAAGTGAGTGAGGTTGCTACCAATTATAGAGTGAGGTATTTAAGGAAAAGCCAAAGCATAGCTAAACCAAGAATGTGGAAGCCATGTCTTTGTTTTTCTTAGTTATGATTCTCACGTCTTCCTGTCCCAATGTGTGAAAACACAATAGCATTAATCTATTAATATGATACTTGGACTTACCATGAACTAAGTGGACAACAACTTGTACTAAGCAATCCTCTCCCAATGTGTGGAAAACACTATTTCATTAATCTATTATGTGATACTTTGACTTACCATAGAACTAAGTGGACAACAAGTTCTACTAAGCAACCACCAAAGGATGTGATAGAATGATTTAGATCCCTCTGCTCTTATCCAAAGGTCTTTGTCGAGTCATGGGAATAAAGAACCTCTTGGTAAGGAACACCTTACTCTCCATAGTGGGTCTACCCGGCGCGACTCCAAATTAATCAGACTAGTGAATTTCGGATAAGCGATGCGGAAAAAAAAAATCTACTAAGCAGTTTTTCATACATAGTAGTCCACCGGCATGAAAGGTTCGATGTAACCCAAACAAACAAAAAGAATATCAAAATATTCTTTAAGTATGTCTTCATATTCGGTTTTAGTAAGTTCAACTACTAAAAACCACCAACTGCATGACTTGCTACTATTTTAATCAACTTAATTCTGACTTTCGAACTGAAATTTAACAAAATGAACGTGCAATCACACGGCTGAATACAATTATACAACTAACTAAATAATTGAGAGTGGTCAAATGTAACCATTCCAAACACTAGAGGAGACGAGACAAGACACAGTTGCATATGAAAGATTAGAATCTAACTGATTCACTTACATAGCTAAATACAGATACACTGAGAAAAAGCAGAATAAATTGGAGTCTGGAGAGTGGAAAATTTACTCAATCAATTAGCTCTATAAAAACAGATATACGTATCTATTTTCCGTGGCAATATACATGTTCCACTATTGTAGGACGAATCGTGTACATTGACACAACTTACTGACCCTGCAAAAATGCCAAAAGCTGTATCACTGTAGAGAATTATAGAAGAGAATCAACACAACAGAGATGCCAATGATGATTGGAAATGCAGAGACCAAGTATAACGCTCCATATCCCTGCATGAAATTGTCACTCGTCAGAACCAGCTCCAAAAGAAGCGGTAATGAGAGCAACATATCTGGCAATGTTTCACAATTACAAGTGCATAATCTTATTCAATTTTACTTAATAAGCACCTGATATCACTTCATTAAGCACATTTTCCACTAAACTGATAGTTGAGAAAATCTTCAAGAAATCGCTATATGATGGAGCTACATTATAAGGCATATGAAAAGATTTGAGGGCATTTGCAATAATGCTTTTCCACAGCAGCAACATAATCTTCCATGAAGCCAATTTTTTTCTCATCTACCAGCTTAACTTGAATTTAGTCTAAGTTGAGCGGACTTTTCATTTGTGGCGCCTCACCTATGTCGACACGATACCAACACTAGTATGGGTGTGGGATACGTACCAGATCTGGTCAATCAACATTAGGTACTTTGACTACAAACTACTAAGAAATTAGAGATAAGATTTTGTATTTTGATTTCTCAAGTCAAAAGCGACTGTAGATTTCTAGATGGCTACCTACAACTTGAGAATAAAAGATTGAGTTACTGCATTCTACTACCTACATGTAAGTTTTTCACATAATGTCTCATTATTTTGGCATATTTTTAGCTCTATTTTTAGATATAGTCAAATCGCACCACCCGTAGCTGTACCTAGATACGTACCCCGAATCTTAAAATTTAGATACGAAGGATCCGACCTCTAGATCTGCACCCGTATCGGATACCCACACCCGAGTCCGAGCAACTTAGGATTTAGCCATGACTTGAAAACTCGTTAAAAGAACAACAACAACAACCCAGTATAATCCCACTAGTGAGGTCTGGGGAGGGTAGTGTGTACGCAGACCTTACCCCTACCCTGAGGTAGAGAGGTTGTTTCCAATAGACCCTCGGCATCCTTCCCTCCAAGAACTCCCACCTTGCTCTTGGGATGACTCGAACTCACAACCTCTTGGTTGGAAGTGGACCTATTAGTTTTGACATGTTCCAACAATAACATGTCAGATTGGTCCATTTAACATATTCCACAAATTGTAAGCTAATTACCGGAAACAGTACTTAGCCTGCCTTATGAACAATCATAACAAAAGGGATAACTAGAGACAATGTCTAAGAATTATTTCGTCAACTAACCAAAGCTGGAGGAACATCTGGCTCATCACTCTCAGCTGACTCGTCAATCTCAGCTGCTGAATCCCAGTCAATCTTGAGCCGCTTAGCAGCCTCTTTTGGATTGATACCAGTGTCTGTGGCTTTTGCATACAGGGATCTGCCAGGCTTATTTTGCTTTGTAGCTTCAACCTAAATCCAACAAGAATAGAGTAAAACTACTAATTGGCTAAATGATGAAATTGGTGCCACTACAAAGACATAGCTTTTCCAGAGGATGTAAATCAAGGAGTCTCATCTGATTTCAAGAAATGAAAAAGAAATCAATATTATCTGCAAGTGGAATTCTCCAGATCAAGTAAAAGCTTAATACATGAAAAAAATAGTACTGGTGTCTGAAATTTCCAAAAGAAAGAAAAGAACAAGAAAATGTATTCTACTACTTTTTAGAAAAGTTGCAGCAAATGGTTGGAGAAAGATAAAACTATCCTGAAATCTAAAGATGAGGAGAAACTATTCAACCAATAAATCAATGTTACAAAAATTCAAATGCAATAAATTTTCCTTTTTATCACAGTATCTGACTTTGAGCGTGAAAGGTTAAATTCAACACCATGGACTATAGATATAGATGTCAAGGGGCCGGGCTGGTCAGGGGTAGAGTAAAACGGAACCGGCCGGTTTCATTACCGGGCCGGTTCCGGTTATTTTTTACCGGGTTTACCGATTCCGGGCTTCCCCGGTGCAAAATTTAACCGGAACGGTTCCGGGCCTAACGGACTGGGCCGGGCTTATTTATTTATTTATTGTATTTTATATAACAATCGTAATTTATATTAAGATAAAGTAAAAATGTAAAACATTAAAAACTAACGTATAAAAAGAATGTTTGAATAAATATAACTTATAGTATAGATCTTATACTGGACACTGGAGTGTTAATAACTTGATATGTAAGGATCAAACTTCAAAGGCTTTCATAGTTTCATTTCAAATTTTCATTGCATAATAATACTTCAAATTAATCTAACAAACTAAAACATTAAGCTTAAATAAGTCTAATAATTTTAAAATAACACAAATTGTCTCAAATCAACTTAAATACAAATTTCTGGAGGACGCTCAAGACAACTCTTCATATGCCTCCTTAAACAGCCTGTGCCCTCCCACTTTCGACGAAAATTTAAGGCTCGACCACAGTTCTTGCACTTTACTTTGTGAACTTCTTTATTTTCTTCTACCACCTCAAAGTGTTCCCAAACATATGAGCGCACTCTAGAAGCGCAAGGCATGATTTAACTTGAATTGAAATTTGGGTTTGAGAATTGAGAGATGAGTGAAGAAATGAAGAAGAAGGGGGGGTCTTTTATAGTTTTTCAAAAGGATAAATTAGTAAATAATAAAAGTGTTATTTTTGAAAAAAAAAAGCCCAAAAAAGGCTATTCTTGCAAATTAGCCATTGGGCAACGGTCAAAATGGCAGCTGACTGTTGCCAAACAAGCAACTTTATAAAATAAAAATAAAAAAATCAAAAAATAGCATTGAACCGGTCCGGTTAACCGGTTCCCATATGACTTGACCATAACGGGTCGTACCGGTCCGGTTAACCGATACCAAAAATCTACAGTCCGGTCCCCGTCCCAACCCAGCCCTGCCCGGCCCCCTTACTACCGGGCCGGTCCGGGAACCGGGCCAACCCGGCCCATTTGACAACTATAACTATAGATGGCTTAGAATTTGCCTTGTAATAGGCGTATCTAGATAAAGTATCACTAACAAACCTCCATTGCATGTTAAGAGGACTTTAATTAAGAAAAAAACTTGATTCTCAGGTCAAATTTATCGAGAATATGAGATTTCGCTCTCCAAGAAGTTGACATCCCTCATTTAAAAGAAGAAAAAAAAATTAAACTTCTTATTAGATGTAATGTCATTTACTTTTAGCTAAGTCTAATAAAACAGAGTCTAGATATAAGAAAAGTAGTAACTTTTTGATATTCTATGAATTAAAATGTTAAGCAAGAACATATTTTGTCCTTCTTAATCTTTAACAGTCTTGAGTTATACTATTGTTGTCCCTCAACACCTCTCACCCACAATATTAAGTAAGTCTATCTGATTCTGGCCCAAGTGAACCGACATACTATATTAGAATGATTTATGCCTGCATGAATGTGCTTCATGAAGCAGATATTGTGATTGTCAACCTATTATTGAATGCAGTTGAATAAAATGAAGTTAAAATACCACAATATTTACTGATGATTTTGGGTCATAATAAAACCTAGTCATGCATTTGTTGGTCCAATCAAGCTACGGGAGAAAACAATCAAGTAACCTTATTAGAGCATTTAGTTTCTCCTTCACCGGCCTTCCCCACCCCGTCCCCAATAAAAAAAAGTGTTTTTTCTTCCCCGCTATGCAGAAATGCTAGCCCTACCACAAAATGTGAGCTGGATTATGAGCATTTTCCATCATGTTTAATTGTAAATTTTGCCAAGAAGAATGTTTGAAGTCACAGTAATACCTCCAAATTAGGCCATGAATTCATCTCTTCAGCCAGCATCTGCAGAGCAGCAAAATCTTTTGGTACTTTTCCTTCGTTGATCTGAAACCAAAAAAAATAAAAATAAATAAAGAATTTAGCAAGACCTTGGGAAGTATATACTTAGAATCATAGACTGCAACATTAAAAAGCACTCTAACTGGTTGATCAAGGAA